TATGGGTTGAATAGTCTAATCTATTAATCAACTAGTCCATTTAAGGCTATCTCGAAAGTTTTTGTATTTCAGGTTGACTAGTCAGACTCCCTCAGACTGAGGACGTCTTTCGGATGAAAGACGAAACGTTTCTATATTTTTTTGTTTTGTTTTTTTGTTTTTTTGAATGTCCAGAGGACCAGATTGAACTTTTTTGGAATAATAAATTATGGGTTTTTTTTTTTTTTTATTTAGTTTTTTTTTCAAATATGATATAGCATCTTGATTTCATATGGCGTCATCAACTAGTCAAGGTCAACTCGACTTTTATCATGTTAAAGTTGACCTTTAAAAATATGTAGCTGTTCAACCCCTAATATATATATATATATTATAATTAAAACAAACTTTTATGACTGGAGTTTCTTTGAGACCAGCTGTTAAACTCATTTCAAAACATCTGAACTATCCCTTTAAGCTCAGTCTGGCAGAGAAACTTCGCGTGATATTTTTGTGAACAGACTCCGGTCAATTCATAGTTTGTGATTGTGTTCAGATGAGTTTTCATTTGTTTAACGGTAGTGCCACTCCTCTATGCCACCACCCATAATCCAGAGTGTTTCCTGCATGCCAATCTCATCAATTTCACTCCTAAAACAGTTTGCATACCAAAATGAAGGATGAGACAATAATTTATAAGAAGACACTTTGATCATTCTCAAATAAACTCAGACTTTAATGCGTGTTTGTACAACCTGTTATAATCTGAAGTCCAATATAGGGAAAGAATCGGTTAAATGTCCTGATGTGCTCAGTAATCCAGATAAATCTAACAAGAATCTGTCCAGAGGACCAGATTTTTAGCCTAACAAGGCTCGGTTTGAAAGACTGTATTGTAGCCACAGACTCCTCCTTACTGCGTCTTTAACGAGCGCGTGTGGAGAAGAACTCAGTCTGAGGGTTTGTGGAGAGACAAGATGCCGCACTCGACATACTGCAATGATACAAGAACTTATTGGGACAGGAGCAAAAAACAATGCGTTTCATGCGAGAAACCTGATCCAGGTAAGAAAAATATATTCTTTTATCCATCATCTTTACCCGCCTCTCTCTTCACGGGTGTGTGTTTAATTGTATGAAGTTACCCTTTATGTTTAATTCTATTAAAATAGGGTATGAAGTTACCCCTAACTGTGGCCGTGATGACCACGGTGGGATCCATGAGAGCCCTCACCAGCCGTGCAGAACCGACACCTTTAACGACGGGACGGGTCTGTTTTTTTGTCGACCCTGTACGCTCTGCCCTGATGATGTCAAGACAAACTGCACCACAAAATCCGACACGGAATGCCACGACACAAGGTAAACCAACTGAGCCCAGATTAAAGCTGTTTTTGTTCACTGATTCGGGACCCGAGCTGAACTTTAGTGGGTTCCTATAGCAGACGGAAAATTCTCTGTGTGTGACGTCAGATGTTCCAGATGGAGTTGAGTTTGTAGTCTGTTTTTCTCCTCATGAAAATGAGTCCTATTCATACCTGTATAAATTAAGGTTAAATAAATAAAAAATAAATAAAATTGTCTCTCTTTGCCTGCAGAACGACATCATTTCCTGGCACGGTGAGTAAAATGGAATTATAGTAACCCACAATGTCACTGACATCACCATCAGGCCATTTATATCCTCTTAATATTTGTTTTTCAGACACCAACAACCTCTTGACATAGTACTGAGTACACAGTAATTATTTTTTTCCTTCTGGAAGATGCACACCAAAGATAATGTACCTTAATGTAGTTAAAGTTCAAGTTGTGCAAGTTGTGCAGGGTAAACAATCAAATACTTAGGATGTGAAGAACAATTTGACTGGCTAAAAAAAGTCAAAGAACAAACAAACAAGAAATACTAAAGCATGCAATAAGGGTACAAAATTAAAGTACCAAAAAGTGTAAAAAAATAATTATATTTACAAGATCATAGTAAACAACAACATGGTAGAATATAATAGTGCAAGCAGGATGAATTTGAATGAATAAGTAATAGTAGTGCAAAAGAGTAGTAATTCTACCAGGGGCGATTCTAGAATATGCCCTTCAGGGGTGCTTAGCCCCCAGTGTTGACAGTGGCTCTTGGCTTGAACAACACATTGGCATCAGAAGCATTTGTAATGTGTGTGTGTGTGTGTGGGGGTGGGGGGGGTGGGGGGTGGGGGGCACTGGTGGGGGTGTCTGGGAGTTCTCCCCCAGATAATTCTGAATAAAGTAGATATCATTTTTTGCATTCTGGTATATTTTAACAGGTTGTTAAACATCTGTGTTTACCTACATAAGTAATACTTGATTCAATAACTATTTTAGAGTTAATGTCATAACAAGAAGCATCCTGACCAACAGTTCTCCTTGTGTGAATAGAGCACACTCCACTTCTCTAACACATCCTAGCCACAGTCTTAGAAAGATAGTGTAGCCTAATGCCCTTTTTCCACTGTCACGGCGCGGGTCAAATATTCTAAGTTCAGCGCGTTTAAGAGGTCTTTTCCATAAGTATTTCATACCTGCTCAGCCCCCGTATTTTGGCCCTTCTTCTCAAGGGGTCCAAGCGAGCCGAGCCGTGACGTCAGAAACACTGTCGGTCACTGATTGGTCAGGGGGAGGAGTCTGTACAGTCACTGAGAAAACTTTCCAAAACAACCTGATAGGCCATTTTTTCTCTACAGCCCGCCATTAGCAATACCTCAAGGAGCATGTTTTGCACGTAATTTTGTAGATATTAAAAACAAACAAACAATGATGTCCAATCTGTGGTCAAATGCAGAAGTGCAGGCGTTGTTGTGCTTTGTGGCCGATGAAAAGATTCAAAGCGAGTTAGATGGAGCAATTCGTAATGAAAGAGTGTTTAGAGAAGTCTCGGAGCTGATGGCTGTAAGTTAACTTTTAGGTTAAAAAAAATTACTAGCCAATATGAAACGATAATAATAATCGCTCCTTCTCACCAATGGCCTAGCCTACATAAAGCAGTCTATATGTCTATGACAGCACCTGCAGGTAAGGGGCGTCCTTCAGGACAAATTGCGGTTGCTGATTGGTCAGTTGCTGATATGCCTACTGGACTGATTGACAGGTGGCGTCGAAGATCCAACTCGTGCAAAAAAAATAATAAAATCATGGATTTTACTGGCCCGTTTAAGACTGTCATCATTTATTCCATATTTATTCCAAATTTATTCAATATTTTTGTGAATCTAAGGTATGCAAACTGAGTTTCCTTACAAAATCGTAATGATAGTTTCTAAATTTTCAGGGGTGCCGAGTTAAAATTTAGGGGTGCTTAAGCACCCCCAAAAAGAGGCTAAAATCACCACTGTGTCCTACTATAGATAGCTCAATGTTGTTGTGGTGCATGACTGTAACTGATTTTTTTCTCAAGGGTTAGTTTCATCCTCTGACAGCACTTAAACAAATGCAGAACCTTTTGTCATTCTTGTTTCACTAGCACGCAGCAGCTGCTTTCAGGTCATGGTGATGCTTTAAGTCCTAAATATGACAACTGTTTTCCACACATAGTTTTACTTTTGAGAAAGCAACAGAATGAATCATCACATGTCCTCATTTCAGACCGCCCTGAGCTCCACTCCTGTTTCCGCTGCCGTGTGTGCGTAAGATACTGACGTCAGTAATTCCAAAATGTCTACTCAGTGGTTGACATTTACCCTTACAGCTCTGTCTGCGTTTGCAGGGGCAGTACCTGTCGCCTTCATCGCCCTGCTCGTCATATGTACCTTGATTCTCTTCAAAATAAAAAGAGGTATAGTGTTTTTGTTGTGGCTTACATTGGGAACCGTCATACATTTGTCTCACTAAGCTCCTTTTTTTGTAGCAGACTAGTTTGGAAAGTGATTTTACAGCAGAGAATAATATTCATTAGCCAATAAATATAAATGTGACATTAAAAATACCTATTGCTGTTGATAATTCCAGGTCGGTGCACAGAGAAGTGCTTTAAAAGAAGGCCATCGTTTACAGATCCAGGTTTGGATCTCGTCCCCTTCTCACCAAGCAACAACAAAGACATGAAGGACATCCTCAGTGAGTGGAAACCGTTGTCTGCTCTTATATTCAGCCAAACTGCCATACAATAATTAATACCTTCTTAAGGTTTTGCTCTTTATTAAGAGTATTCTATGCTCAGCTCCACAATGATGAAGGCGTCTTTGAACTTTAAGAACTTTAGCAGTTTTTTCTTTAAATACAAATAAGGCTTTTGTTCAGGATGGCTCTGTTAAATGCTCACCACTTTTCCCTTAATAAAACGCCTGGTTCCAGAACCTTTTTACTACGGAAAAAACAAACCAAAAACCATCCAATTGTGCCAACATCAAGTTTTCATTATAGGAATAAGTGGAAGTTTAGGGCTGGTTTTCATTACAAACACTGTAGGGATTTGTTGATAAATTTTGTTTTGACTGAGGCAAACTGAAAAGTGTGACTTAGTTGAGTGAATAAATGTCTGAAAATGTGGAAAACGTAAAAGAGTCTAAAAGTTTTCCATCTAAAGTTTATCATGTACCATAAAATTATTGATCTGGGGCTACGGATCGGGATTAATTCATCCAAGGAGTATCAGATTAAAGGGCAAGATCAGATCTTTTAAAGTAGAACAGTTATGAGCAATGAATATCTTACTTACTGCAGATATCTCTTTAAACCACCAAAATTTGGAAAAACATCAACAAGCTATAAAAGCTAGTCCGAAAACGATTTGGACCTAAGTAGAATGATGTTGTCTTGGAGAAGATGGGAGAGTTGTAATCTTAATTTATTTAACTGTTCATGTGTGCACCACTGCATGAATCTTTACATCATCTACTGCAGCTGAAATTCTGTCGTATTTCAACCGGAAGTGCCTCAGGTGAAACAGGAAGTGGTTTATGTGTTTGCATAAAATTCTGTGTAAATAACTGTTTAATGTAACTTGGTTTAAATGTTTATAAAATAGTGTTTGCATGAACATCTATGAAATTTAAAAAAAAATTAAGAGTTGTTGGGCTTGGCCTCGCCCAAACTAGATGTTAGCTCTTAAGTTTAGTCAATCTACAGCAGGTAAGATAGTACTTGTTCATAACTTTTCTACCAAACAACTTTTTATCAAATCTAAACTATCCCTTGTAACATTTAAAATCAGTTTATTTCCACTATCTTCAGTCACCCTCTGACTTGTGAATATTTTTGTTTCCATTAGCTGTCGACACCATGGCAGCACCATTACAGACCGTGCTGGACAATCTGGATGTTCTGGAAGACTTGGTGATTTTGTTGGATCCTGACACTCTGGGAAAAAAGAACACAAAGCATCTGGCCTCCCACTGCTCCTTCCCCTCCACCTGGATCACTTACACATATTCCATGAAGGACAGCAAAAGCCCCCTGAAAGCCGTGCTCGAGGGGGTCACCAGTAGAAATCCAGACTGGACTGTGGGCCACCTGGCCAAGATGCTCAAACAAATGGGCCGCAACGATGCCATCGCTGTCCTCGCTAAACTCAAGTCTGGTCCACCTGAACAACAGTACTTCTGAAAACATCCAACCCACGCTCCATTATTCATAAAAAAAAAAAGGAACAGTAAAGCGCAGAATCCACAGCTACTGGTTCATTTTACATGACAAATCCTACCCAGAGGTCCATCTCCATCTTCTATTGCTTACTGGTTGTTGCATCATGGAGGCAACAGGTTCTGGAGAAGAATCCCTCTCTCCAGCTCCTCCTCTGGGATCCCAAGGCATCCCAAGTCCAGAGAGGATATACTTGTATAACCTCTCCAGTGTTCTGGGTCTCCCCAGTAAGGCATACCAAAAATACATCCTAAGGAAGAGCTGTCCTAAAGGCATTCTAATGGGATGCCTGAACCACCTTAACTGTCCAGCCACTGCTCCACAGTCAGCCTCTTCTCTTTTTGATGTAGAGCAGCAGCTTAGCCTTATAAAGATCTTCAATTTATCTGTAAGGCTAAGCCCAGTCACCCTTTGAGGGAAGCTCTTCTCTGACGTTAGTATCTGGACTCTCGTTATTTCAGCCATAATCAATAAATACCTCATAACCATAGCTGAGGGTTGCAACATAGACAGACCAGTAAAATGAGAGCTTTGCTTTTTGACTCAGCTTCTATCTTCCGTGACCGACCAAAGCTGCGCCCTCATTTGTGTGGGGCCTGGATCTGTTGGTCCATCTCCATCCAACCATCACTCATAAACAAGACATCCTCC